TTTTTTCTTTGGAGCAAAGTTTGAGTGCTTCCTTTTCATGTTCTTCTTTGAACTTGATTCAACAATGTTTGCCTTAGCTTCCATGCTTGGTCCCCCGTTCCTCCTTTCAGATTTCTTAGTATCTTCTTCGATCCTCAAACGCACAATCAACTCCTCCATGTTCATTTCCTTACGTTTATGTTTGAGGTAATTTTTGAAATCTCTCCATGAAGGCGGGAGTTTTTCAATTACTGCTGCTACTTGGAATGACTCACTTACAGTCATTTTTTCAGCATGTAAATCATGAAGGAGTACCTGCAATTCTTGAACTTGGGAAATAACAGATTTAGAGTCAATCATTTTATATTCCAAAAATTTTCCAACAAGGAATTTTTTAGAGCCAGCATCTTCAGTTTTATATTTTTTCTCTAAGGATTCCCATAGTTCTTTTGCAGTTTTTATTATGCTATATACACCATATAGCGAATCATTCAATCCATTCAGTACATAATTTTTGCATAGGAGATCAGAATGTTTCCATGCGTCCAAGGCAATAATCGAAGCTCGATTATTTTCTCCTTGTTGAACAGTAGGAGGATCCTCCGTGAGAAACTTTGCCAGGTTCAAAGTAGTGAGATAGAACAGCATTTTCTGCTGCCATCTCTTAAAATCGACCCCATTAAATTTTTCAGGTTTCTCTCCGTGAGGAACATGAGTTGAACCAGAAGGACCAGACATCGTCAGCATTACAGTAGCCATAGTTGGCGTTACAGTCACAGCAGGGGGAATTGCATTGGTCCCAACAGTATTAGCCATTTCTGTTTTCATAACAGAAGATCAACCAGTCAGAATTTATAAATTAAAATTCTACAGAATATTAACTTTACATACACAAGAACAGTTTATGGAAATTAGTTTATACAAAACCTAATCAAAAACGTCTTAAGATTGTTGGTTAAAATATTAAAAGTTTGTATGAAACAGATTTTCCATAAATGATTTGCAAAAACAGTAAAGTAGAAAATGATTTGTAGAAACAGTAAAGCAGAAAATAATTTGCAGAAACAGTAAAGCAGAAAATTATGTTCGAAAAATTATGAAAAGAAAGAAGTCTAGAATTCGGAAAGGGGATGATCGAGGCGAGAACTATGCTCTCTGTCCTTAAGACGTTTTTACCCCGTCACACAGTGCTTATGGTATGTGGTAAAGCGTCTCCCAAGATACAACGATCACACTTGCAGAATTAAAACATGTTTTAATTCAAATAAAAATCCACCTGTACTTCTTTTGTTTGACTTGGCATCCAAATCAGTCAGCCACGTGAGTATTCGGTTAGTTTTTGGATGGACCGTTAGCTGAGTGACTATTGAGATTACAAAATGCAAAGTTCAGTGATGAGTGAGGCGATTTTGAAAGTTCAGTGACCTTTGGTGGACTTTTCGCAAAGTTTAGTGATGAGTTAGACAATTTTGAAAGTTCAGTGACCTTTTGCGGACCTGGTGCAAAGTTTAGTGACCATTTGGGCTATTCACTCAAAACTAGGACATTTTACAAATGGCTATACAAAAAGAGAAAAATGAGTTGAGAGATCAAGGGGTGCTAAATCTAGTGGGACAAACGTTGCTATCCAGAGAGATGAACCTAGTCAGGTATACATGTTTTTAGATATTGAACCAATTGAAATTAACTTATGTGTAAACTCCGAGATACATGATTGGATTCTTGATGATAGTGCTTCTTTTCATGAGACATGAAATAAATTGTTGTTTGATTATTTGAATGAGTTTGATCATGGGCATGTAGTTGCATGGGGTAGAGTCGCATATAAGATTGGAGTGTTAGTGTGATTGTCAAATTTGACAGTGGTTTTGTGCACACAATAAAAAAGGTTGGTATATTCCACATATGGATAAATATCTAATTTTTGTGCAAGAGTTGGAGCGTACATGTTTCTCTAATGCTCTCGGTGATGGAGTGTTAAAAATGTTTATTGGAGTACTTAGAGCCTCTAGAACAATGGCATTCACATCACACATGCTAAAGTGATGATGATGTTCATTATCACTAACATTGATCACACACAGAAGTGGCACAAAAGGATAACTTATGTTAGTCTAAAGGGACTTAAGTTTGTTAATGACAAGGGTATGTTTGGTAAGGATCCAGTATCTGACATGCCATTTTGCGATCATTGTGTGCTCGATAAATATCATAGGATGTCATTTGTATCTAGAACACACGAGATTTAGGGGTGTTAGAATACATTCATACTAATTTGTGAGGACCGTGGAGTAGTCCCACTTTGGTAGGTAACAAATGTTTTCTGTCTATTATTGATAATTTTTCCAGACATATATGGGTTTTTATTTGCTAAAAGATAAATCTAAAACTTTTGTGAATTTTGAAAATTGGAAAGTTAAGGTGGAGAATGAAACACTTAAGAAAGTGAAATATTTTCGTATTGATAATGGCTTCTAGTTTTGCAATGTTGAAATTTATAATTTGTGCAATGAATTTGGCATCACTATGATAGGATTGTGCCTTACACTTTCTAGCTAAATAGGGTTGCTGGAAGGATGAATTATACTTTTCTTGATAAAGTTAAATGTATGATGTTAAGTTTTAGTTTGCCTAAATCTTTTTGGGGTGAAGCTATCATGACAGCTTGTTATGTGACTAATATGACTCATTTTGCTACTTTACATGGTGATACTCCATATAAGATTTGGCACGATAAATGTGCTGATTATTTTATGCTTAGAACCTTTGGTTGTATAGCTTTCTCTTATCAAAGTGAGGGAAAACTAGAATCTTAAACGTTGAAGTGTGTCTTCTTAGGCTACCCTAAGGGAGTTAAAGGATATTGGTTATGGGACGGAAGCCAGAAATATGTGAAAATAATTATAAGTTGTGATGTCACATTTAATGAGTCTGAGATGCCTTGCAAGGAGAGTGAAGAATAGCAAGAAACTGTTATAGAAGAATTTCCTATTGAGGTCGTGTGTGTGAACATCCACATTTTCGTTACCTCGAGCTAGGTGGAGAGTAATACAAAAAATCAGGAGAACTTAGAGTTAGAAGGTGATTAGGAAATTGTTGATGACAACTCTATCGACCAAAAGCCTCCAGCTGATTATTAATTAGCTAGAGAAGAGAGAAGAGATCACATAGGAAACTCCAAAGGATGTCTAACTATACTATAGCTTATACTAGTTATCAAAAACTAGTTTATAATGAGCCTAATACTTTGAAGAGGCTATGTGGAGTGAAAAGAGTGAGGAGTGGCTAGGTTTCATGAGAGAGAAGATAAGTTCTCTTACCAAGAATCAAACTTGGAATTTTGTTGCTAGACCTAAAGATAAATTCATAGTTGGATGCGAATGGGTTTATAAGATCAAGGAGGGAACTATTGAGAGTGAGCCCGTGAGATACAAGGTTAGGTAAGTAACCAAGAGGTATGCACATAATGAAGGGGCAGATTAAAATGAGATCTCTTTGCCAATTCTGTTGCTTTTTACTTCTTGTAGAAGTGCTTTTCGAGGAAGTTATATTAATTTTTATTTGAAAGTTAATGTTTAAAAGCAGGAAGCCATTTGGGAAGTACTTTGAGAGAAAGTCATATTGATTTACCTTCCTCTAAAAGCTCTTCTAAAGTTAAATGGGTTCAAAAATAGTTTTTGGGTCTCAAAAGCTCCCTTCAACTTTTAAAAAACCATGCTAAATGGGCTCTTAGTTTTTATTGAGAAATAATTCCACTTTCTATATCTTTTAGCCAACCATTGACATAGGAACTTTGACTTTTCCGTGATCGTCTACGAAAACCCAGACTCGATTACAATAGACTTGTTCAATTACAAGCTTGTCGTTAGAAATAATCATATTAGTCACCAATTGGTTGTCTTTCTTGTTAGAGTTGAGAGGTAAAAAATGGAAATTTCCTTTTGCTTTTACAAGGAAACGGATAAGGTATGGCATATATTTGTACTACAGCAATGTCCATGAAGAATTGCTTCTTTTTATTTTATTTTTATTGATGAGAACTTAACGGCTCCAATATAGATTATTATTAATTTTTCACGATGGAACATTTAATAAGAATAATAATAATTTTTTCACGTAAAATGAACATATTGTCCAAATCATTATTTTTTTAGTTTCTCTTTTTGCTTTAGTGGCTACAATATGTCACAAATAATTTTTTTTATTTAATTTTAAATTAGCCTAATTCTATATGGTAGAATGACCATGTTTGGAAATGCAATACACATGTATCCAAAAACTTTAATTTCATTAACCAAAAGAAAGGAAACTTCTTTATTCCATAATCTTATTGACTATTCTCAGTTTTTATTGAGAAATACTTCCACTTTTTATATCTTTCAGCCAACAATTGGCACATGAAATTAAAAACCAATATGATGAACTAGGTTTTTTTGTTATTGACAATAGGATGATGGAAAACAAAGTATTAATAGGGTTAGAATCCCCAATTAGTTCCCTAGAAATCTGCCTATACAATCCCCTATTCAATCTCTATGATCTGTACACAACCATACGATCTTCTATGTAAGGAAATAGCATCAATGGCTATCTTTACATAATTGTTGACAATCTCAACACTCCCCCTCAAGTTGGTGCATAGATGTCACACATGCCCAACTTGTCTAAGAACTTTGAGAATACCCGATTGGATACCCCCTTGGTAAGGAAATCAGCTAACTGACCTTCTCATCGAATCTTTGGTAATTCCACAACTTTTTCATCTAGTTTCTCCTTATTGAAGAATCTATCTACCTCAACATGCTTTGTACGGTCATGTTGAACTGGATTATGGGCTATATCACATGCTGCTTTGTTGTCACAATATAGCTGAATTGGTTACTTTAGGGAATAGCCTAGGTCCTGTAAGAGAAATTTCAACCACAGTGTTTCACAAATTCCTAAGGCCATTCCTCTACACTCAGCTTCTGCACTAGATCTTGGAACAACATTTTGTTTCTTGCTCCTCCATGTAACTAAGT